GAAGAAGTCTCTTGGAGGAGAGACGAAACGTTTCATTAGAGAAGAACCCGTCCAGAAGACCTATACAATTTTTTTCTTTTTTATAATTTGTGAACTTGTGTATTTTTTTCATTTAGGGTGAGAGTTTATGCTTTGCAAGCTTTTGTCTTGTCAGTGACTCGTAATCCAGTTTATTTGCAATCACTCAGAACGTTCAGTATAAAAATGCAACAATAACAGAACCCCCCCCCCCCCCCCCCCCAAATTTTTTTTATTGATTTTAGCACCTTTAATCACAGTACTTAAGAAACCGATGTATAAAAAGTTAAATTGGTGTTGGACAGGAACTACTGGTAAAACGTGACAAGTGCAACATTTTGCTTTTTATTAGTTCAGTTCATTATAAAACAGTATGAAGAATCTAGGGTGGTTTAAATGTAAAAGAAGGTTGTTTTACAAGCAATAAGTATTTATAGGTGAAAGATGTCATTCATACTGAGGTGAAACTGATTAAATATAAATAATAAATAAATCCAACAATAACTTTGAGCTGTTTTTCTCACAAACACCCAGCCTGACACAGATAAAAACCTCCTCCTCCACCTTTCTTCTTTCAGATGCTCGTAATAAAAAAAAGAACGTAAAAGGAAACACTTTTATACTTTTATACTATTTTTCACTTGCTTAATCAACACCTTTACTGTAAAAAAAAAAAGAAATTCCCAAAAAGCACCATGTTAAATTTGTTCTGTCGGTACTAATAGGTAATTATGTCAATACTGAGTGCAGAACATCTGCTAATATATTAAAATCCTTCAGTGTTAGCGTGTGTAGTTGTGTGTGTGTGAGAGGGGTGCACATGGGGAGGTGTTTGCGTGCGCGCTCACCTCTGTCACCCGTGTACGTGGTTTCAGGGTTGAGTGTGTCCAGCAGGTGGATGGAGCTGGTGGGTCTGGGTTTGCTGCGGTCCTCCTGTTGATGGTCTGCTGAGCTCAGGCCGTTCTCGTACAGCTGGCTCTCACCGTGCCGCAGATGCCAGGTCAGACCTAACAGGTGGACCGCTGCAGACACACACACACACACACACACACACACACACACAC